CCCACACCCACACCCATCCCCCCCCCCCCACCCCCCCCCCCCCCCCCACCCATCACACTCACCCACAACCACACCCACACCCACACCCACCCTTGTCTTTTTTTCCAACTTTGCAATGCTGTAAAACAGAAAAGTGATCATAAAAAGCAGGCCACATTACAATGATAAGAAAGAAAATGTAAGATTGGAAAAATGAAAGTGCACGACCACGTATAAATTGAAGTGTTTATGCATGAAATCAATAGAGTTTTTACCGAAAATAAGTTTTATTGTAATAAAAACAGGTAAGAATATAATGTCAATCTTATCTTTCATACTAAAGTTTACTGTTTGTAGGAGAATCTGGATATGATGAACGAGAGAAAATCTGAGTCTAGTAGTGTATCATCACCAGAAGATGTAAGCTTAACAACCAGATCGAAAAGTAGTATCAAAGATCCGACTAATACAATATCTGATTTTTCGCCAGATATAAATGTAACTTCTAACATCGGAAACAACTTATCACAAGCAGTACGTTCCCGTATTACAGACAACTTTATTGTCATTTGGTTGAATTTAAATATTAGCTACTCTGATGAAGACATAGACAATTGTATTAAAAAATTGAAATACGTTGTGAACTCGATCAAAATATTTACTGATCCAAATCAATGTATTGAATTTGTTACTGAAGTTAGAGATGAAAAGATATTCATGATTATTTCAGAGCCACTCGGTCAATCAATCGTTCCCCTCATTCACGACATTGCTCAACTTCACATGATCTATATTCTTCATATTCAACAAACACAAAATGCCGAATACATAAAAGGATATAAAAAAGTTAAAGAAAACTTTTCACAAATGGAATCCATTTGTGATATACTCAAAAAGGATATTAGTCGGCTAATGATTGATATGACGCCATTTAGTATTGTGTCGCCTACATCTTCTCCAAATTTTGATACATTAGATCCATCATTTATGTATACACAATTGATCAAAGAAATTATTCTTGAAATGAAATATGATGATAGTGCAAGACAAGAATTTACTGACTTTTACTTGAAATCTTTTCCTGAGCAAGACTTTCAGTCAGACGCAGTACATCAATTCCAGCAATCTTATGAACCTCAATCAGCTATCTGGTGGTACACAAAAGAACTCTTTTTATATTCTACACTGAACAAAGCTTTAAGAACTTTAGATAGCGAAGTGATCATAAAGATGGGATTTTTCATCCAAGATCTTCATCGAGAAATCAAAAAAAAACACGCACAAGATCATCAGACTGATAAAATGATCGTTTATCGAGGACAAGGATTATCAGAGACTGTTTTTCAAACAATACAGAAAAGCCAATCTGGGCTTTTATCGTTCAACAATTTCTTATCTACAAGTATTGACCGTCATGTTTCCTTCTTGTACGCCGATAGCGTACGTCAAAATCCTGATACCATTGGAATTTTATTTGAAATACATATTGATCCATTAATATCTTTTACACCTTATGCATCGATATGCGACTTCAGTCAGTTCAGAGCAGAAGAAGAAATACTTTTTTCAATGCATTCGGTTTTTCGAATAGGCGACATCAAGCAAATCACACATAAATTATGGCAAATTAATCTAACATTAACCAGTGATCATGATCCTCAACTACAGTATCTAACCGACTATATGCGATACGAAATCATTGCACCAAATCCATGGTATCGTCTTGCTTTATTGATGACGACTATGGGTGAACTCGACATAGCACTCGAAATATTTACTAGTTTAATGCAAACATCAATTGAAGATGTAGGCATAGGTCTTTGCTCAAAGCCTGCTATCATCACCCACATAGGTCTTTTGAAATTTACGTTGGGAAATTTCTCTGAAGCATTAATAGATCAACAGAAAGCGCTTGAACTTTACCTAAAATATCTGACACCAGATGATCCAGTTCTGGCAATAAATTACAACTTAATTGGTTCAGTATATACAGCAATGGGTAATAATCAGATCGCACTTTCATACTATAAGGAAGCAGATAAAATCCTACTACAAACACATTCACCAAATGAACGGCTTCTAGCTAATAACTACATCTGCATGGCTTACATATACGCTAGTACTGGTGACTATGCCACAGCACTCTCACATTCCAAAAAAGCGCTTAATATTAACCAAAAACCTCTTCCATCACATGAACCAAATCGACCTGTAAATTCGAACAATCTAGATAAAATGTACTCATCGGTGTATAATTACGAGATGCTGCTGTCGTACTACAAAAAAGGGCTTCAAATTCAACAAAAACCTCTTCCATCGAATCATCCGGATCTTGCTGAAAATTACGCAATCATCGCTCAGATATATCAATCAATGGGCAAGTACGAGATCGCACTGTCATACTACGAGAAAGCACTTGAAATTAATCGAAAATCTCTTCCATTAGGTCATCCGACTCTAGCTGCAAATTACAACAAAATCGGTTCATTCTATCAAACAATGGGTAATTACGAGATGGCACTGTCATACTACGAGAAATCACTTGAAATTTATCTAAAATCTCTTTCATCAGATCATTTGGGTCCAGCTTCAAATTACAAAAGTATTGGTGAGCTGTATCAATTAATGGGCAAGTACGATATCGCACTGTCATACTACGATAAAGCATTTGAAATTCATCAAAAAGCTTTTTCAGCAGATCATCCGAATATAGCTGCAAATCACATTGGCATCGGTCAGTTATATCAATCCATGGGCAATTACGAGAAGGCATTATCATCTTTCAAGAAAGCACTTGAAATTAATCGAAAATCTCTTCCATCAGATCATCCGAATCTAGCTCTAAATTACAACAACATCAGCTTATTGTATCAATCAATGGTAAATTACAAGTTGGCACTGATATACTGCGAAAAAGCACTTGAAATTCATCAAAAATCTCTTCCATCAGATCATCCGAATCTAGCTCTAGATTACAACAACATCAGCTTATTGTATCAATCAATGGGAAATTACAAGTTGGCACTGATATACTGCGAAAAAGCGCTTGAAATTCATCAAAAATCTCTTCCATCAGACCATCCGCATCTAGCTGGAAATTACAACAACATTGGTGTTGTATATCAATCCATGGACAATTAGGAGAAGGCATTGCCATACTTGAAGAAAGCACTTGAAATTCATCGAAAATCTCTTCCATCAGATCATCCGAATCTAGCTCTAGATTACAACAACATCGGTCAGTTATATCAATCCATGCATAATTACGAGAAGGCACTGCCATACTTGGAGAAAGCGCTTGAAATTCATCGAAAGTCTCTTTCATCAGATCATCCGAACCTAGCTGCAAATTACGATAACATCGGTGCTGTATATCAAAGAATGGGTAATTATGAGATGGCACTGTCATACTTGAGAAAAGCGCTTGAAATTCATCGAAAATCTCTTTCATCAGATCATTCGAATCTAGCTCTAGATTACAGCAACATCGGTGTTGTATATCAATCCATAGGTAATTACGAGAAGGCGTTGTCATACTTGGAGAAAGCACTTGAAATTCATCAAAAATCTCTTCCATCAGACCATCCGCATCTAGCTGGAAATTACAACAACATCGGTGCTGTATATCAATCCATGGGCAATTACGAGAAGGCATTGTCATACTTGGAGAAAGCACTTGAAATTCATCGAAAATCTCTTCCATCAGATCATCCCAGTCTAGCTCTAGTTTACAACAACATCGGTCAGTTATATCAATCCATGCATAATTACGAGAAGGCACTGCCATACTTGGAGAAAGCGCTTGAAATTCATCAAAAGTGTCTTCCACCAGATCATGCGAATCTAGCACTAAGTTACAATAATATTGCTGCTGTATATCGATCCATGGATAATTACGAGAAGGCGTTGTCATGCTTGAAGAAAGCACTTGAAATTCATCGAAAATCTCTTCCATCAGACCATCCGCATCTAGCTGCAAATTACAACAACATCGGTGCTATATATCAATCCATGGATAATTATGAGAAGGCGTTGTCATACTTGGAGAAAGCACTTGAAATTCATCAAAAATCTCTTCCATCAGATCATCCGGATCTAGTTGCAACTTATAGCAACATCGGTGCTGTATATCAATCCATGGGTAATTACGAGAAGGCATTGTCATACTGGGAGAAAGCGCTTGAAATTCATCGAAAATCTCTTCCGTCCGATCATCCGAGCCTAGGTACAATTTACAACAACACTGGGTATATTCATTCTCGCATGGGTGATCATGCGATGGCGCTGTTACTGTTCGAACAAGCGCTTGGTATTATGAAGAAATCTCTTTCAAACACGCATCCATCGTTGGCTGCCGCGTATAGCAACATAGCTTTGGAATTAGAGGATCTCGGAAGATACGATGAGGCTGTACGTTATGCAATTCAAGCTGTTGAAATAGCTCATGGTGCTTTGGGACGTGATCATGCGGAAACTAAGGATTATGAAGACCAACTTCAGGCACTCCAAGAATCCGTGTTATTTTTAAAAAGTTGAGTGATCAGTGGCGGGGAATGGAGCTGATTTTTTTTTTCGAACATATTGATAAACTATTGCGTTTGAGGGTGTGGGTGTGGGTGAGGGTGGGTGTAGGTGTAGGTGTATGGGTGTGGCTATCTAGAGGGTGTAGGTGTGGCTATCTTGAAGGTGTGGGCGAGGGTGTAGATGTGGTTGTAGGTGTGGGCGTGGGTGTAGGTGTGGTTGTAGGTGTGGGTGTGGGTGTGTGTGGGTGTGGGTGCGGATGTGGGTGTGGGTGTTGGTGTCAGTGTCAGTAAGGAGAGGAAATACCCACACCCACACCCACACCCATAGCCCACACCCCACACCCACACCCCACACCCAGACCCACCCCCCACACCCAAACCCACACCCACCCACACCCACCCACACTCAGACCCACACCCCACAGCCACAGCCACACCCCACACCCACACCAACACCCCACACCCACACCCTCTTTTCTGTGGAGATTTAGCCTTATAATATGATCAGACATCGTTTGAATTGCTATGAGATCTTGTTTTAATCTTTACAGAAAAGGAAAATTAGAATTTAATACAAGTCCAAAATGTTAGATTTTATTCATGCGAAACTTCTTTTTGCTTATGTGAGTTTAGAAATCCCAACAGAACTTTCTTGATTGAAATTTTCTGGGTCCGTCACCAGACTGAGGATGTAAATGATTACATAGTTATCAATACTACATAATAATATGTTTTTTAAATGACATTAGTAGCTGAATGAAAGAGAGAAATACTCATAAGAGGTTGATATGTACATCTATAAAAATTTTCTATTTTTTTTCAAACATTTTTCACAAGAGAATTACGTTGATATAGTACAAACGCTCTATTTTGATCTTGTCAATACTCATAACATGTCGATTTTATCTGAATCCGCATAAAAACATCAAAACAATTCACACTCCTTATTTATCTGGTGGAGATTCCTAATAAAATACTTCGCTTTGTTATTTTTTCTATACACATCATGGCATTGTCAATAGCACTCAAGCTGAAAGATTCTATAGTCTTGCTCAGCAATATTTTCATTATTTTCTTTATTTCTCTTAGAAGTTTTTTGTAATTTTAGTCAAGTATTTGATAAAAATAAGTCATCAACAAAAGTAATACACATATTCTGATTGGCGGTTTTTGCAGATATCGAACTTCGAACAAATATTAATATTAATATAAAACACTCACTAAATACTCAATTTAATGAAAAATTTACTGTATATATTTTGAACAAGTTCGTTTCTTTTTATCAATTTCTATTCCAAGAAGTTTCATAGACATAAGTTTTAAATCTTTGAATCCAACACGTTAATCTTTACCATGAGATTTTTTTATGAGAACTTGATCTTTGTAACGGAAATAGTTGGTGAAAGAAACTATGCTGTTGTATACAAAGCAAGATCCACAAACATATGATAATGTTGCAGTGAGAAAAAGATTAAAATCGGTAGTCGAAAAGTAGCAACCGATGGAATTAATTTAACTGCTTTAAGAGAAATTAAATTTTTTCAAGAAATTAAACATCCATATGTTACCAAATTACTCGAGTTAATTGAAGAATATGTTTTAAATAGTCCAAGAATTTGTTTAGTATTTGAATTTATGCATACTGATCTTGAAAATATTATTAATAATAATTTGCATAATAATTGGATGCTTCATCGAGATTTGAATCCAAACAATTTATTAATTGATAAACGTGGTGTTTTAAAAATATCCGATTTTGGTTTAGCAAACTTTTTCGGCTCACCATCTGGATTAATATCACATGACGTTGTTACAAGATAGCATCGATCACCTGAATTACTTTTGGGTACAATAAAATTTGGTCCTGATGCCGATATATGGACAGTCGGTTTAATTATGCCTGAATTGCTACATTGAGTATCATTATTACCCGGTGGTTCTGATCTTGATCAATTATTGAAAATATTTCAAGTGTTTGGAACACCAACCGATAGTAATTGACCGGATTTCAAAACATTTTCAACTAATATGACTTTGAACAAATGGCATCTAAGCCGTCACGAGCAATATTTACAACATCAAAATCAGATGAACTTGATGTATTAGAAAGAGTTATGCAATTCGATCCAAAACGACGACCAAATGCAAGCAAAACTCTTCAACTGATATATTTTAATAATCCACCTGCTCCGTGTCCAAGTGACCGTTTGCCTAAACCAAAATAAAACCAACCAACTGAAAATAATAAACGTAAATTAGGAAATGATGAAAAAATGACTGTAAAAATAAGAACGCGCATAGGTATTCAATTATATGATTGTTTTTCCATTCCAATATGAATATTATTTTATAAATCAAATGTGACTATTATAAAAGCAAAAAGTACGATCAAATACAAGTTCCGATGACGAAAACGTGTGGGTTGATGGCAATATTGACCTGTCAGAGCAACATATTTTGAGTTAAAAAAAATATAAAAAAGGACGGAAACATGAATGTTGATGCGTATATACAAAGACAAAAATTACTTTGTAGCACATATATGAATGAGCTGTTTCTTGAATAATTTGAAAGTATATTGACAGCATCCTAAATGTTTTGTTTCACAGCTTGAGCAACACGTCAGCAAAAATTTTATAGAAACGATTGCAGCGTTCATTGCTAGAGTTAATATCAAGTACACTTGTAGAATGAAAATTGACAGAGTATGTTTTGCATTGGTATATAAAACTCCATACTAATAGAGAATATTCCAACAAATTGATTTGTTATTTTTTTGAATAATTTTTTAGCTCTGTTGCAATCTATAGTTTTCCTCAGTTCTTTTTTGAAATAGGTGGAGCTCAGAAAAATTTACAAGACACAAACATTAAGCGTTTGAAAATCATTTGACAATAAGTTGAATTGTGCTGTAAAGATAGAATGGTATGATTCATTATAGAAAAGCATTGTTATTATAATACTGTGCTTCTCATGTAAAAAGCAAAATTTACACATATTTGTCTAGTTATAGAAACATTCTATCTAGAAGATTCAATTCATTGTTAAGAAAGCAATCTCAAAAATAATGAAATAGAAAAATTATTCAGATAGACACTATATGTAATAAATATGATATATTGTTCTAGTGTGGATATTTTAATACTAATAAAAATTCAGTAATGACTCAAGCTAATTTATAGATAGGCCTAAGATTTGAATATTCAGAAACATTATCGGAAAATTTCATTTGATAATACTATTTCTTAATTGAACTATTCACTTTTTCAAATAAAAGATCGATCAATAACATAAAAGGAGAAGATTTAAAAAACCAAATAGATATGAGTGTGGATATCATATTACAGAAGTAGATAACTTTTTTGTTTTTTGGTGAGACAATTATTTTTGTGTACTGATGTAGAGGTGTTTTGATTGTGAAACTTTTCCTTTTTTGTTGAGGAAAGATATATGAAATGTGTTAAAACGAACTCTATATAAACGTTTGAGTTTCAAAAAACTTAGTCATTTCATTATAGTTTCTTTTTTATTGTATTACTACATACATTTCAACAATATTTTATTTCATTTCTAGGACACAATTATTGAATATTTGATGAAATTTTGGATATCGTTATTTTATTACAGGAATATGAATACATTAAATGAATGATGAAAGCATTTGAAAAAAAAAACATTCTTTTTTCTAAAGTATTTATTTATATCAGTAGGAAATTACTGCATGATTAAATAGTAGCATAGTCAATAGTATATGACTCAAAGTTATTCTTGATGTACTTTCGATTGGTCCTTTCCATATAATAAACTATTTCACTTTTTCTTTCTTCTGATATTACTATATATATTGTATATTATCAAAACAGCAACGAAAAAGACGATAAATTTTAGCAAACAAAAAAAACAACAAAAAAAATGACTTAAACTAGCGAAAATATAGGAAGGACTCTATACTGACTCTGCAAAAGTAACACAATCATTATCTGTTTCTATGTAACAGCAACTAAAATGTATATACGAGAACAATTATTTGTTGTTTATAATATCATCAACAGAAAGCAACAAAAAAAAAATAGAAGTTTTGTATTTGCTTTGTGTTTGATACATCCTTATTCTTTGAACTCCTCGCTAGGCCATCGAGTTCATCTCATTCATACTACTATTCCTATTCTACTTGTCATTTCTAAGAGAATTTCTTAGAAGTAATTCTAGCATTCCAAACTGCACTTAATTCTCATATCAACTGTGATAATTATTATTATTTTCAATGTTAATTATAGTCTACTTTAAACAAGAAATTTGGATGGTTCGCAGATGCTATCTGTTCAAATCTAGTCTACCTTAGCAAGTTTTGAATAAAAAGAAGTATTACTTGTAGCTTTAGTCTTAATCAACTCGTTGACAGCAACGTTCCTAAAATTGCTTTTTCAATGTTTGAATAAAAGATGAATCTGAAATCTAGTGAAACAGGTCTTTACAAAATTAGTTGTATTTTAAATAGTTGTCTCTTGTAATGGCATTACATCACTAAATAAAATCTAATACCTTTTCTTCACTATACTAAGGTTGAGCAACTATGCAAAGACCATATGTATAACATTTTTCTACTAAAGTTCAAGTATTTATTCTACAGATAACACGTATGTATATCACTAAGAGAAAAATAAATGCATTTGTGAATGTTAAATTAAAAATAACACATTAATCGCTATCCATTCATATCATTCAAGTAGTACTTTTTGAAAGTTTTTAGCATGCTTCTTCTCTTAGGAATTGATAATAAAGAAAATAATATCAGAGAATGAGTTTAATAATAACAAACAAAGACAAACAATTATTATAAATCGGAAAAATTAGGTAAACAAAAACTATCCATTTGTGCGCAGTCCATCGTCATTATAGCTTGAGAGTTCTGTATATTTTGGTAACACGTGGAAAAATACGAATATGGGAATGTTAAAAAACTGAGAATATCGTTTTTGAATGTGTTCAACTGCTTTACGGTTTTTAAGGTTAATGTCATAGTGTAGCATCAGTTCTCTTTGATTTGAAAGCCAGTATTGACTAAAAAAGACAGACTCTTTCGAACGGATTTTCGGCACATCTCGAAGATCATCTAAGTTCACATAGATCTATATCACGGATCGACTCGACACTAGAGTGTCATCGAATTGTGTTCATTCTTGTTTGTTTCGAGAAACGAGAATCGTAAAATCATTCCGAAAACAAATGAAAAATTTTTTACATTTCATAATAAAACTGATAAGAGTAAGAACCTATAATTTTATATCTATGAATAAGAAACTAATTATCTATATCACAAATATGTATAGTCATCGATTGATTTAAATAATACTTTCACATTTTGTATCAAAAAAAGTTTACAGATTAGTTTTAATCAAAGATCTATCTTTCAAGTAAATCAAACAGATGAAAGATAAAGCAACAACTCCTTTCTCATGTGAAAGTTGGACAGAATTCAGGTTTGAACTAGTTGATTCTTTTCTAATTCGATGTCGTTCCAGAAACGGACATCGATCTTATTTTCACTTCATAAATTCTTTGAATGCTTTTCCTTTCATATGCATGATACGAAAATGATAGATTTGTGAAGTATAAAAGGACACAAATCCAAGAAATATTCATTTTATCATCAATGAACTCTTGTCATTCTCAAATTTATTCATGTCACAAGAATAATTATCAAAATCTAAAGATGATCTTCATACCGTTGTTCATATTATGCACATCTGTGCCATATTTTTCGAATTCCTTTGATTACATAACAAACAATATTACTTAATAAATATATCCAACATCTTAGAAAAAAATCTCTCTGTTCTTTTGATTATGAATATAAACTTCTAAAAAAACAATTTATAATTTATTATGATGCTTGTTTAATATAGTTCCATCAGTCTGATCATGACCTACAAGGACTATTATTATCTAGTTTAAAAACTCTAGTCACTTTTTGTTTTTTATCATCAAACATTATTTTCGTTTGTTCAGATGGATTTTCGATGAGATCTATCTATATTTTTACTTTATACGGAGATTTAAATTAATTACTTTAGAAATGAATGAAAAATGTTCATGAAAGTAAAACGAAAGTAAAGCATTTGATTCTGTTTTGCTTATTCAAGTTTATTCTCCTCTCCTATCATTTGTTATCAAACTGCCTATTTATAGTAGATCTATTATAACTAATCTTCTCTATAGATGTGTTGTCGATGTGTCATTCATTCCGATTATGTTGTCTTTTGACAAAGTCTAAACATGTACAGTGTGCCACATCACTTTGGAAGTTAAAATTAGTCGAGTAATAAGTTAAGTTTTAATTTTTTTATCGTTTCATTTAGTCGACGACAAAATTCTTGCTCGTTCTGAAATGAATTTTTTATTTGACTTTTGACGTATGAGAACAGAATGCAACACATATGTATACAGAGGAGTTCGAGACATTTACGCAGTACATAACAGTTTTATAAATCTTTGCTACTTCTTTGAGCAACGTAAAAGTATGTAAATACATCCATTTCTGGATGACTTGTTCAAAGATGAGATGGATTGTATGAAATGAGACCGACCTTTCAAACTGACGGATTTCTAGTGAATGAATGGCAATTCGAAATTTCGTGCTCAGCATTCTTGGTATTGCCCGCTGATGGAGCATAGCTGAAGCTCTTCTCTCTGAATGGACAAAAGTTATAAATTCGAACTCACTTAATACTAGCCATCTAATCTCTCAATAGGTCATCCAAAAATAGATGTATTTACATATTTTTACTTTGCTCAAAGAACAAGCAAACACTTATAACACTGCTATGTACTGCGTAAATGTCTCGAACTCTTCTGTATATATATGTGTTGCATTCTATTCTCTTACGTCAAAAATAAAATAAAAAATTCATATCAAGACGGGAAAGACTTTTGTCGTCAACTAATTGGATAATGATATTCAAAGAGATTGTGTTATTGCACTTATTGTTTTGGTTCAGTAGTAACTTTTAGTTAGAAGATTATTCAATCAAGCTTGTTGACCATATGGATTATGTATAGACGAAGTTTAAAGTGACTCTTTGATGGTGAGGCTAAATGAATGAGCGAAAGATTTTAAATATAAACAACATTGAAAAAGATTTTGTATTTTTTATGATTAGTTTTCGAATAATGCTGTTTTCAAACGAACTCTACCTATCAGTTAGGGATATACTCGAGGAATAATAAATCCAAGCTTTTTGTTACACAGATGCATCTGGTACTATCGAAAGGAGCATACAATAATCGTTTTCTATATTGATTGCTCCGATAAACATACTTTTGCAAAGTCTCTTTGTTTTCGACACTGTTTACCAGTATCTGAAAGGATCCTTCCAGTGAATCTAATACAATTTATAGAATTCTCATTTAAAAACAATTATGAAATGATCGTGAATGTTCCAAGATCTTATTTCCTTCGTATAGAAATCTTACACAATCTATAATGACACGTTTCCCACAGACTATAAACTTTTCGAAACATTTCTTTGTTTAAAACCTCGCAGTTCATAACTACGGTTTCTGATTTAAACTCTCTAATAATTTATCAACATTCATCTGTTGTTCTGACGTCCTCCTCCGATGATCTGTTCTCTTATGGGACGTGTGGAGTTAGTCAAAATACCATACTCTGCACACTGACAAACCAAGTTGCTTATTACAGATTTACCTAGAGGTAAATGATCAACACTGATCACATACATGTTGCAATGACGAAAATAAGCGAGTCGGCCGAAACAGTGACTTGCCAGAGCATCATTTCATAATAACAAACGTGAAAATCTAAGCGTCGAAATGAATGTTAGGGCAGCGTTGATTTTTGTTCACTAGGTTTTATATCGAAAGACATTAGTCACTATCTAATATGTGTTAATGTGATTACGTTCTTCGTCATAACAAATTTTATCAAGTTGAATGCTATATGGTTGTTAGTTTCTTCGAGAACACATATTTGGCTGATTAGATTCTTCTTTATGGATTCAAATCGATTGTTGTCAAAATAGAATTGTTTCGTTTTGTTGAATTATAGAAAATAGTTTCACATATACTTGAAATTATATTCACTAATAATGATCTAGATATACCGACATTACACTGAATAATGAAGTCATCAATAGGACTAAGAGATAATTAAATGTCGAAAGATATGCGTTTTATAGATTTCTTCATATTTAAATTAAAAAAATGAACAATTAGGAATAAATTTTCATTCTAAAAACTAAAATGAAAGTTAATAGTGATGATGATTTCCTATTCAATGGTTTATTTTTCCCAATTGAAAAATTTCTCAACTACATTTTGAATTTCTTCACAAGATTTTAACAATGAAAATCCTCAGTCATCAACCAGTCTAACAGATGAGATTCTTAAACAAGATTTTCAAAGTAAAAACAAAACAAAAATCTATTCTGAAAATGAATTTTCTTCAATTAATATCTTTTGAAAATATACATCATGGTGATGAAAATCTTAATTCTATTAAAGAAATACAAAGTCTTAATGGAGCATTTCCAAGAACTTTTATAATAACAACAATGAAACGAGAAACCATGCCATCGGAAAGGTACGTTGTTAAAAAAAAATTGAATAACCATCAAATCAAAAAGAAAATAACAAAACTGAAATAATAAGTAAAATATGTGGAGATATACATCGTAAAACAAGATGATAAAATAATTCAAGAATATGGAAATGCAACAATAAATGAATTAGATCAAGTTTATTCATCATCGAATGATAATAATGACCAAGCAATTATTTGCGGGAATAGACGTTCGGATTTTGTTCTACAAAACTTTTTTCTTAAATAAAATTTTCTTGTTCAAATGATCTACTAAAAATAAATGAAAGAAAATATTATTTTGGTCGGTCATTTTTATTTTGAAACAAAAACATTTAGTTGTCTCGCTATATTTTACTTAATATATTTTCTCCGCTTTATCAAAACTGAGTATCTTTTCCGATTGAAAATAAACTCATCGATAACAGCATCATTTTCATCAAAAACGACAAAAGAAAAAAGAAAAAAGGTATCGACTCAGATCGGATGAACATTCAACAGCTTATATACAATTAGAAAAAAACCTTTTTTTCCTCTAATCTTCATTTACGATATACTCACACAAGAATATCAATTTAATTTTGAGAATGTGAGTGTGGGTGTGTCTCTTTTCTTCCGTCACCAGTATACTCACACCCCACATCCACACCCATAAATGAAATAAAGGATATTATTAATTCAGAAATGATTCACTGGCAACAATAATCCTTTACGATAATATGAATAAATGCATTTAATTATTACTCTGAGTTCAAGAAAATAAACTTACTTTTGATTACCATTCATTAATGAATGTTTATTAGGTAACCAAGGATTGCTCAGACTAAAGCTGAGCTCTTTCAATTGTGGATGATATTTAAGTAAATGTAACAGAAAGGTTAGTGAACATTCTCAAAGTACAATTGATTGTAAGTTCAAAAATCTTGTTTCAAACTGCATGAAAGCTTTATTAACTGGTAGAACCATCTTTTTGTATACACCGCGGGGAACGACGGTGACATGGGCGTAACAAAGAAAATAAGTCAAATATTCGTTCACAATATGCACCATCAGGCACACCTTCAAATGTATAAGCAGCACGATAGTAAGTTGAAAAATGCCCGCCAAACATGATGAGAGAAGTGTTGGATAAAAATAAATGTGATGCTAACCATAATCCATTATCAATAGGTAATGTATCTGATACACATAATGAAATAATATATTTACATACGTTCGATTGTAATAAATGTATGTAATAGAATTTGATCACCACTCTACTCATTCGATTTTGACGCTATCGAAACATTGTGTATGATTCTTATTTAACTGCTTCATAAACAATAATACAACACTTTATGGTTCTTCCTGACGAGCAACATCGCGATAAAATGGTGGTGTTATTTCTATTCATTAACTTCATACGTCAATGTAACGCTTATAAGAGTCAAAAATGAAATTTTTTACGATAATCATTAATTATCCTTTTGTGCTCACATGAATCTCATGTTTTTAACATATTTGATAGCTTTTCTTTTTTGAAATAAAGCTAAATGACAATTATGAATACTAATTTAAGTGATCGTTATTTTTTTTTCACCATACATAGTCCTTTCCTTTTACAGGACCATGTTTTTGAATGCTTGAGATAATGAAAACTATAAGATATTAAAATTCTAATACTCTAACCTGTATCTTTGACTCGATATAATATGAGATAATAAATGTCGCAGATTCAATTTTCTGTTGTTTTAGTTAGATTGTATCAAAATAATTCATTCTTATTTTAACAGGTAGAAAATTTTGTGTAAATTTCGTTTGTATTCTTTTTACAATTTGACTTTTTAAATACTCTCTTTACAATTAGATTAGATTTTTAGTAGTTAAAAGGATACAAGTTTCTGATATATATATCTACATATATATTTAATGATTTGATATACTATTTAAATAGCAAATGCACTAATACTTTTTTGCTTTGTTTTTAATAAGTGTTATCATCTTTTTAATAATGCAGCTTTCATTTCAGAGATTTGATTGTGTATTTTTTATTTGATACAAAAATAAATTATAAATAAAAATTTCATAGAAAAGAATATTATCAAGAAAACTTAGTAGCATTCTGATTTATCCCAAAACTTAGCATTTTCAATCAATTATGTATCTCGTCCTTCTCCTTCTTGTCTTATATTATAGTCATTGATTATTGTTCGAAAAGTTTTTATTTATCTATTCTTTCAAAAAAACACGTTAAAGAAAATGTTTATGAATTCCATGTCCATAAATAAGTAAATACCAACGATCATCAATAAATGATGCTAAATAAAGTATAAAACTAATACTTTGATTTTTTTTTAATCGTAATAATGAAGGAATAATTAGAATTACAACATATATGTGTTAAATCCATTGGATAAAGAACAAAATGAAATTGATCGTTTTTATTTTTAATAACAAGACCAAGTTGTGAACCAGATAGAGTAACATGAACATATTGAATATCTAAAATAGTAATAATCAAAATTAAATAAAAATCAAAATATGATTTATTATATTTTACCAGTATCATCTTTATTAACTAAGTTTTCTTTTGACCAAATTTTTATTAAATTCTATTTTGTTAATGAAACATATTGTCATATAATTTCTTTTGGATCATGACAACAAATAAAAATACTTTTATCTTGTACAACATAAGTCAAAGAAATAAGATGATTTGATTGTGTACCATGAATTTTTTTAATCGTAGTATTTATATCTTATTAAAGTATTTAAAAAAAACAATAAAAATAAAAAGCTAATTACTTACTAAAGTACCATTAACATTGTATAAGATAAGTTCATCTTTATCATATATAAGAATATCATCTCGTTTTGAATGACATGACATAGCACAACAATTTGATGAAAAACTATACAATTGTACAGATACTGTTCACGATAATAAGTGACGAACTGTTGAATAAAACGTAGGTGTATCAAGTATATTTGTTGAAGGACATCTTTTAAGATCATAAATTGAACCTGTTGTATTTTTGATCTAAAATCAAATAGGTAATAATCGATTAGACTGAAAAGGATCAAATCAAACTGGAATAGATATTGGTAAATATGTTTATAAATGACTAAGTGAAAGATCAAATAATCTATTTTATCTGTATATGTTGAACATGTAAACGAATATCGTCTCCTATTGAATTTTATCGAATTATATCTCTCTTATACAAGGTTTATTTCAATTCGCCGATGGACCTAAAAAAACACGTGTTATTTAAGATCTTATCAGTTGCTTTATACTTGCAACGAAGAGCAAAAATTTTTAATTGATGTGGCATTGTTGTTTTGGTAAGGTACCACTTTCTATTTCATTCATAGGTTAGAGTACTATTAAATTTATTTTCAATAGTACATGTAATTGAAAAATTTCGACGTAAATGCAATATTATCAAAAGATAACACATTATTTTCCAGATGGATTATTTCTACATGTCCGTTTACTATCATTATAGGATGAACATTCTTTTGAGTATGAAATTTTTATTCGAATTTCTCAATCCTTTCCACTATGATTTATCATCAATCACAAAAACATAAACAACTTTATAAATCAATAAATCATAATGAAAATTCATCAATTGTTAAATATAATTATCTTATTACAGTTGATATTTCAAAAGTTCATGATAATTAGAAAGAAGAATTTTTATTTAATACAAAAATATATTTTCATACTAATATTCTTCTTTATATCAATGATTAGTCATTAGAAAGAGTGACACACAAGTTTACTAGAGATGATACACGAATTAATTATATTAAAATAAATGAAATTTATTTATTCGAAGGAAAAAATTATTTCAAATTTTTGTAAGATTATTTTCCTTTTGCAATAATACATTGATTATTATTTTAGTAAAACAAATATTTATTATCTTATTGAAAGATCAAATATTTCAAAAAAAGCAACAGAATAATATTTATCTAAAAAGAAGTGAATATCATTATGTGTGAAAAGTTTTTATCTGTTAGCAAATTGATTTATATTACTAGAAATCACTGTAAATCAGTTTATTTCTCCTTAATTTGACTAACATATTTATTTATCAGTATGAATGAGAAGAAACTGTCACTAAAAAAAGATCATTTCTAAACTGAATTCGGTGGTGAAGTAGTCTTATTCTTACCAAATAGCCTAGAATAAATTTCAACAATCAATAATTTTGTTTTCCTCACCTGATCTTTTTCATATCTTTTATCTAGACACTCATCAAATGAAACTTTTCCTCAAATCAAATCATTGATAAGGGAGCACAAAATTTTCTTAATGCTATATGACAAAGTCAAGTTATAGTATAACTTGTTTTTTTTTCATGCAAACACCTATTACTCTGTGCTTCAGAAAAGAACAAATAAATGTCAATAATGAAAGAATGTTCTTTATCAGACTTGCTTGAAAGAAATCTAAAACTCTCTTCGTCATGTTTGTTTTTTTAAATAAATAAAAGCTTTCCAGAGATTGTCCACATAAAAGTTCACTAAAATAGATCTGTTAATTATAACAGTTTTTACTTTGATAAAAAAATTGACTAAGAGTTGTTTTAGGTTCAACCTTAATTCAATAAAAAAATTTTTTTTTATAAAAACAATTGTTCACTTAGATAATAATCCATGTGATTGACAATTATTATATTTGTCAAGATAAAACTTTTAATTGATATTTGATGGGAAAAAAATTTGTCTACTAAAGAATATTTATCATTGAAATTTATATTAAAATAAATCAAAATATTTGAATAATTAATATAAAATTTTACTAAAAAAGATAAAAAAAAGACTACGTTCATCTAATTGATCAATAAATTAATATGAATTATTTTTATTTAAATAATCAATTAGAAAATGAACTCAAATTAATTCATATTAATAAATTTTAACATTTTGTAAAATCAATAATTGAGAGTCATGTTTACACTAAAACAAGTATCGAATCGAAAATTTTACAAATGAGATAAATGATTCCGTTGTTGACTAAGAGAAAAATATTTAATAATAATAAAGACTTTATCTAAAAAAAAAAAAAAAGAAACAAACTGGAAGTAACATTGTCATCATCTGATAATAATTAAAAAGCTAATTCTCATACTTGTCAAATTTTGTAAAAAGAATAGTTTCTTTTCTTTATTTACAATATTTGAACATTAACTTCTGAGTGTAATATATGGATTGAGTGAAGAAAAATATTATTCTCATATTCAATAGAAATGATGTTTTGCCAGGTTGACATATAAAGCAAGATAAATCTTATCTTAATGATTGAATAGAGTTTGATAATGTCTACTTCAAATAAGGTTACTATTTGCGAAAATCAAATGTTCTATTGAACGCATTTTTCTACAATTATTTTCTCTAAATATTCTTACTTCTAGTCGGTGATTTATACATATGTTTTTTTTTGTTGTGACTCTCATGTACAAGTGCAAATTTATTTTTCTTCTCTTTTCTCCATTCTGAACCATTTTATTTGAAGCGCAGTAATCACATTTTAAAAACAAACACAAGAATTTTTTTCTAAGTTGTTATTAAAGAAAATGTTGAGTAACAACCAGAAAGGATTACTCCTCTGGATAGTAAAGACAAAAAAGCAATAACTATGTTTATGAGTAATACTTTTAATGAAGAACGGTAACGATTGATTATTGTGGATGGCTCATAAGAATTTCATAAATTTCTCAAAGTTATTTTAAGAGACAATCTATTACTCGATTGAGAAATCATTTTCTCTGAAAAATTTTGCTTTACATCTTTTCGATAATATGATATAAAAGAGCATATAAAATCTACCTATATATCCAAAATTTTATCCTTGCTTTAATGTCTATTTGCTAAATATGAAGGACATATTGAACATGGCACAAGATCCTTAAAAATCTTTCCTCGCGCTCAAAATTTTCAGCAACAATGTCAATCTAGAATCTATTAAAAATACTTCTTAGTTTAATTACTCAACAGAAGGTGGGTGTGAGTCGGAGTGTAGGTGTATGCCTTATCTCACACACCCACACTAACAGTATTACATTACTATTCGTCGACCTATGATCATCATGATAAAATCCAATAGTACCCACATCACCATATTTTTTAAGAAATTCTGATGTTGCTTGGCCATCCTATTGCAAGAAATCAATTGAAAATTCATGTTCGATTTAGAGAACAAAATATATTTGGCATAATTTTAGTGTAAGTTCAAGAGCAATTTTTCTGTCAGACTATCGATCGGAATCAAAAAATCATATGGATTTCTCCAAATAATCAGCATGACGTATGCAAAAAAAAAGGAATTTTCAAAACGATTTCTCCTTTTTCTTATAATTCATTCTACTTGTTCGACCAATACGACGAATATAAAAATCACTTGTATCCGGTAAATCATAATTAACAACAAAATCAATAAGACCATTTGTAAATTGTTCTACAGTTTCCTTTCGTTGTTAGTGTGTTTGATTTTCATGAAATGTTATACTCATGAAACTTTTTTGTAAAAGTAATGCACCTATAGAATCAGTTGATCACTGTGTTTCAAGAAATATCAAACAACATTCATATCTTGTTTCTTTGTAAATGGTACTTCTTTTATTGTATGTGCTACATCGACATTTGCACTCTCATAGAAAAAAAATATAATCTTCACGAAGGACATGTTTTGCTAATTGCTGTAATTGGTTAGAAAATGTTGAGAAAAATATCCATGGGACACGTTCTTCTTGTGATGATAAACCAAGACTTTCTAATTTTCGTATATCAAGTTCCAATTCTGTATCTAATATTCTTTAGAAAAACAAAAAAAACGTAATCAAAATTAGGTTCAACACCATCGGTGTCGTTTTTACATACCGGTTAGTTTCATCTATAACGAGAAATTTCACTTGTTTTTAGTGAAACTGAAATAAGAAATCCTGTAAAACTTTGAATACAATCCACTGAATTATAATTTTACTTGAACTTTTCCCACAATGTCTTGAAGACGATCCGATTCAGTAAACATATCATGACCATCAGCAGCAATGCGATATAGGTGCAAATAATAATCAGCTGGACATTTTACAAGAATACATATTCTCGCTGTACGTTTATGAAGTAACTTACATTGTATCACAGCAGTTCAATATGTGATTTTTCTTGCTTCATCTTCTGTTTGTAAAACATGTTGGCATGTAGTTGATATAATAAGGCAAAGTGGTGATGACAGATGTTCTCTATTAGATAATACATCGGTATGACATTCAAGTAAAGGATGAGTAGCCGTTAAAAAACAAAACTTACTGATCTATCCCATCCAATTTGAGCAGAAAACCAATGAATCACCTCATTATTGAAACCTTCAAAGTGAGCAAGACGAGTATTTGATACAATTTGTGTGTCAACCCTAGCTTCTTCATTGAATTCAATTGGTTTGACTTTGTCTAATGAAATATAAAAAAAGTCATTGTTGAACTAAACATTAAAAATAAAATAAAGAATACTATATTACCTAATAGTAGATAACAAATTTGTATTCTAGGGATATTTCCAAAGTCTTCATCCTTTCTTATTGCTTTAATAAATATATCATCTGTATTTGTCAATGAAGGTAATGGAAGATAATATTTAATTGGATGATCATCAGCAATAGAAAAAATGACTTCGATTATTTTTCTATCTTAATTCTTATATATATTTACGTTAATTGAAAATATCATTAGAAACCTATAGGAATGATTGAATTTTTCTTTTCAAAAACTAAATATAGACTTACTCGGTTGTTATTTTTTTTTTGACATCAGAATTATAGAAACTATCGCCATACTATCTGAAAGACTAAACAAATAACACATACTATATATATATAACCTG